AAATCGAAGTAAATCGCAGTAAATCACAGTAAACCACATACTTTCTGTGATTTGCTTCGATCACAGCAAATCACAAATCCACATGTCCCTGCGCTGGATTTGCTCAATTTACCCCATAACTAGTGCCCCGGCACTAATTACACGTGCAACCAATTAATTCCCGACAATTATTGTTATCAATCGTTATTTCAAGAATTACAATTTACTGCATGATATACGACATACTACAAGTCAATACTACCAAAAATTGCAACTTCACTACAATAGGTCGTAATTCATTACCTCAATACAACTAAATCACTAATCGTGAATGAGTCGATATGCTGCGCAAATCTCTACGTAAATAAAGTTTATTGAATAAAAAAAATCCACAAATAAAATACTTAAGTAATCATATTAAAAAACTAATAACGTAAATTTGCATCTTAAGGAATCATTTTTACAATACATTGAAAAATATCTTTTTCAGTTGCAATTTTAACTTGAGGACATATACCCTGTAAAAAACTCGATGCATTCGGTGTTAAAGAACTATCATTATGAACTAATTTCCTACTATCATTATGAACTAATTTCCTACTATCATAAACAATAACACCAAAACACCCGTCAATCATATTAATAGCAGAATGCATTTTGATAACAACTTCTGTACCCAAAGAAGATTCTTGACATTTACATTGAATTAAAATAAGTTTTTGCTTATAAATCGCAAAAATATCAATACCATAATCTCCACTACCACCAACAACATAACAAAGAACCCCTTTACTCTTTAAAATCTTGCTAATTTCATTTTCGAAACTCTTTCCAATTTCAACATTTGAAGGACTTTTTTGATTTTTTAAACTCTTATTGTTCAACTTATTCAACCTCTTGATTACGTTATTCAACTTCTTAATTTCGTTGTTCAATTTTTTATTTTCATTCTGTAAAATCTTATTTTTATTCCTAACGGCATTGATTTTTTGTTCATCCTTTATCTTTTTAATTCTATTCTTAATGATGATTTTTGGTTCATCCTTTGTCTTTTTAATTCTATTCTTAATGATGATTTTTGGTTCATCCTTTGTCTTTTTAATTCTATTCTTTACAGAATAAAAAGCAAAAGGAAATGAAACTTGGATATAAACGTTCTTTGAATAGGTTTTTTAGTGATACGTTTTTTAGTATTCTTTTTAGGGATTCCACCCTTTTCTTGTAATTGAAAGTTGAGCATTAGCAAATAAACACCAAACGGGATATTCTACAGAATAGGTGGGCATTATAAAAAAAAAGCTTCGCTATTGATTAGTAATCATTAATTTTTTAATAGCGGAGTTGCGGAGTTTGCCCACCTATTCTATAGAATATCCCAAACGGCGTATGAAACCATTTTTATAACACAAACTCAAAAGAATAACCAAATTTATCTTTATAGAGTCATAAAGAACAAATGGACATTATCTTTACATCTGATAAACACAATGTAAACTTTTAAAGATGTGCATACTGTATTTTAATCACCTTGTATCAGTGCACAAAATCGTGACATGACGTGTCCTGATTTTTTTCCGACGATCTTTTTATTAAACGGAATTCGCCGGAG